TATATGTGTGTGTGCTACGTAACTGGCTCTCAAATTCAACTCTGAAGTGGCCACATTCTTTCATGCAATTTTTTTCTTTCATTCTATCTTGTTCTCTTCTCCCTTTCTTCCGCTGGCGCGCAATTTCTCGGAATTGAAATGAGCGGCGCACTGAGGCTAGACAGTAACAAGCACTATGGAATAAAATTAGATTGGATTGCGTCGTGTCAAACTCTTTTGTTTTCTTCTTTTTGTACGCTCTATCTTTTTCTCCCGACAAAAAAGCATTTAACCTCTTTGTAACGAGTTTGTCTATTTCTACGTTCTGCACACTCTTCGTTTCTCCGTTTACAAGAGCAATTTATTGAATGCACCTCAGTTTTTATTATTCGCATTTATGCAATTGCATGAATTTTATGCATCAAAAACCAATGCAACGCATCAATAATAAAATTTAGCAACGACAGCAACGACAACACAACCTGTGCTTCTCTGCCATAAGAACCAATGTATTTGACGTGACAGTGAGTAGCGGTGGCGCCTAAATAGAGTCTGCGGCAAGTTTAGGAACTATCAATACTTCTTGTTGTTGCGAAATTCATGACAACAACAACAAGTATTGATAGTTCTTAAAAATGCCGCAAATTGCTAATACATCTTATTTAGGCGCCACCGCTATCTTGCGCCGGCCAAAAGTAAAGGTTGCGACAACAGCAGATGCCTGAGTATTTACATTCACTGGCGTGCGCATAACTATTTCGTTATGTTATTTCTACGTCAAAAATGAAAGAGAGAGAGAGAGAGAGAGCATTGTTCCGAGTGTGCGAACACAGTGTCGAACAACATTGATTTTGGTGTGTACGCGAGCACTCACTCGCGCGCTTTCAATCCTTTACATAAATAAACGCTGGAAACATTCCTTTCGTTTGTCGAAAGACTGAATGGTCGCATTGTACTGCGTAGGTAAACGAAATGTTTCACATATTTTATTGCAATGTCCCATCGATTATAAACTGCACTAGATTTTGTGTGCAACAAGACATTTGCGCCGACAAAAAATGAATATTGCAAGGTAAACTCGCCGAGTTGAATGAAAATACAATGAGAATGAGAAAATAAAACAGTAAAATGACTATTGAATTGTTGAACATGAATATGGAGTCTGGCAATATTTCAAGTCACTGAAAATCACATGTTATTCGAAATAACTATCGATACTTCAATGACGACAAAAAAAAAGTATGTTCAGTCCTACTCATTGGCGAGAAAAATCGGTATTTTATTGAGTTTATTAATGGTACTTCTCTCTATCTCGCGATTAATTGTAAGTCTATTTCCAAAGTGAAATGCATCACAGGGCATTCTTTGTGCATGTTGTCGGATATAATGGCTACAGTATTTCTGGTTATGCATTCTTGGAAAATACCAAATGGAAGCAGAGCGCATTGGTTCAAAATTTCTTCGGCTGGTGTGCCTTTGGAATGGAACCGAATGCAGTTGTTGCATGTACAATGCTGATCTAATAACGATGTCGACTGCCAAATTTTCGTTGGCATTTCTCTCTCCGTTCTGCTGCTGCTGCTTCTGTTGCTATTGTTCCACCGCACGCATTTAGTCGTCCAAAATGGAATGCAGTGTGGATTCAAACAATACGAATGAATTCCACGTGAAGGGCTAAAGATAGATAGAGCAAATAAAAACCTGAGATCTAAATCAAAATGAACAGCAATCGAAACACTAGCTTCAAAAAAATCCGCATACGAGTCAAAAGCAGGAGAAAACATGACGATATGTGTTTAGAGTGTCTAACGCCATCTCAGGCCAAGTGCTCTTCAGTTTAACCGGTTTTTTTTTTTTTTTCATTTTTCTGGTCGTTCTCGCGCGCTGATCGCATTCAAGAAGGAAACATTTGTTTACTTTGCTCATCCATCATTCTTCTCAGGCAAGTCATTTCTCATCATAATGTGAGCTCGTGAGATGTGTGTCCATTTTCCAATGATCGAGAAGAGTGAACAAACAAAACAAGCAGAAATACCACGCAGAAGAAATAAATTATTAATTATCATTAAAAATTTACAGCAGCGATTTTTCATCGTACCAGTATCACTTGCTCTGACCGACAAATCCAATCTATTCGGATTCAGTATCATACTGATTGAATACAATAAACACCGTACCAACAATATCAACAGCCAAACCGATTCCGTGTGCTCGCCAAGTGTTATTTGATTCGATTTCATTTCTTTTTTTTACCAAGATACATGACAAACGGTTATTAGTTCTCTTCTTTATACCTTCTCTGGCCGTTGGCCCGATCTCAAAATCAAAACCGTCTAGAATTGCCATTTTTATGACAGGCGTGCGCATATTAAAATAACACATGAATGCGGTATGCTCGTTGTTCAGTCCCTTTTTTTCACTTCGTTCACTTCGATTCAGATTTATTAATGATATGACCCGTACATCATTCTAGTATGCGCGAACTACAATTTTTGCTTGCCGTTGCATATCGGTTGGACACTTGTTTCGACTCATTGCAGCAGCACAATTTCATATTTTCGATTTGATTATTGTTGTGTTTTGGTAACGTACATTCAGAATTGATGTGCGGCGTTTATTCGAAATCATAATGGTTTCGAGAACTCCTACTTCGTCTCCCAAAGTAAACACATCCATTTCACATTCAGAAGATAAGAGCCATGGATAATTAATTGCCGTACATTAATTTATTTGGTCTATGTTCGGAGTTGACGAGAGAGTCAGTGCGAGAAAGAGAAAAGCTTGGAGATATAATAAAAACATTCAAGTGCACGAAGGGAATTCATTTAGTTGCGTCACCATTGCGAATAACCCGTTACATTCGTCTATCACACTCTCGCTATATCTCTTGCGCTGTGTTGCACTCTATATCTCGGCCATAAATTATTTAACGACGAGCGGCAAATATGATTCTATTGCAATTTCATTGGCGTTGCTCTTGCTTGACTTGTAGTTTCGTGCACAACGTGCATCTAATAAACTTCTACTTTTAATTTTGCCTCAGTTTTATGAAACGGATCTCGTAAAAGTCTTGTGCATTTTGACTTACTTATATGTTGTTTTTTATTTTCATTTACGTTGTTGTATTTGTTTGACTGGGTAAAAACAAACAATGCACTCATAAAAATTATAGTATAATATAATTATTCTTCGTTCGATCAAGGTTTTAGATTGCACTCGATGTTTGTGCTGTTGCTTTCCTTTCAATTGCGCCAATCGATTCCAATTTTGTGATGGCACAGATTCAATAATCGTAATTCAAACGTTCAATTAAAATTCCTGACAAACATCCAAATGAATAAAGAAAAAGAAGAAAAATAAAAGCGATCGGTGCACGTTTTTTCTTCTTTTTTTTTGCTTTTCGAAGAAACCGTTCTCTAAACCCATTTCAATTATCATTCATCTTGGTCTCAAATGTATATTTGTTTACTTGAGACGGAACCTGTTTATTATCGACGATTTAGCGGTCATTACGGAAATATTTTTGCAAAATCCAATCAACACGCCCCCATCCCATTCGCTCGGCACTGCAACACAACTCATTAAATGGCCATTTCAGTTAATCGCTTTCCAATTGCGCCCAGAAATACCGCTTCAATTTTCCATTCATTATTTTTCGCTTTAGGACGAGTGTGGTCGTTAAATTCAGCTACCGAAAGCATTTTGTTTTTTTTCCCCGGCGAACAAACACATGATACAAATGGGGAGACACCTGCAAATGATTATGAGAGCAATCGATGTAGCCACCCACTGAATCATAGCAATAGAAAAAAAAAGTATTCTAGCTCACACCATTTGCATTCGAAATATTCCAATGTTTATCTACGAATAAATACCAATTTTATACACTCATAGCCATTTTAGCTAGAATTCGATTTCTCAATTAAAACGTACCAATTTCCCCTTTGGCTAAAAGTGCTAAAACCATTGCATTTGATCATGCAACGATACACATGTTCTTTTTTCAATAGATTCATGCTTAATTTTTATGAAAATATGTTCAAAACGAATGAATGCATAGAATTGCTTTGTGCAATTTTCGCATTCAAATTCGATTGATCTGTCCAATTTTTTCAGACGCATCGAATCTTTTTTTATTATTCCATTCATCGGATGAATAATTTACCGCATTTCATAAAAATGTTTGAAACATTGCCTTCAAGGCATTCGAAGAGAGATTTCATTTGGTGATTTTGAGACGATGGAATTGAATGTGGGAGCGCAATTGTTCAACTTCAATTTGAAATTTATTAAAATGAAACATCTACATTTTGAAAACACACGTAAATTTCGACACTTTTTATCATAGTGGCGAAGCGTTACGACTACGCGTACCACTACGAACCACTACGTTTAGGGAATTAGTGAACGTAGTACTACGCGTACTCGTAACGCTTCGCCACTAGGCTTTTTATCTACATTTCATAAAAATATGCATGTTTGTATGAATTAGGTTACCATTTAGTTGTATTCGTTTCGATATTGACATATTCATTTTACAATTTATTCTATCTATTTAATCAGATCAGTACCTCATGACTTTATACAATCTGTTTTTTTTTTTTTTATAATCTTCTTCAAAAAATTTCATTTTCGTCGTCGTTTTTTTTCTGTTTTCCTATAAATTGGCTTGAAATTAGATTTGTTCTTGACTTCAAAGTGAAACACAACCGAAAATGTACATTGTACTTGTTCTTGAAAGTAGAGAAAGCAACAAAAAAAAAATGGTGCAAGTTTTAATTGTAGGTTCATTTATATTCCAAAAATATCCGTGTGACGTCGACATACATCGTTTGCCGCATGTCTGTGTGCTACACGCTTGCGGTGCACATATGTTCACAGTGGCATGTACTTAAAATGCTAAATAAATTTTATATTTAATGTGATATATTGCAGGCATTTATTCTCTTTTAAACTCCTTTTATGCGCTCATTTTGACGATGTATTTCTTCTTTCTCCTCTCTTTCTCCACTCTTTTGCAGTACATACGATTGGAGACGACTGCCTCACCCAATTCTAACTTTATCACGACGAAGGCAAAGGATTCAAATAACAAGTAAGTTTTTTTTTTTGGATATATGTTTTTACGGCTTGTGCCCAAAGGTTCGGAAACTAAGTGTCTAGTGTTTACACTTTGATTAATTTTCAAAGAGCAAATGAAAAATTGATAAAAATATTTTCAATATTTTCAAAATCAGTCAAATGCATGCATTACAGACGCACGCTAGAACGGTTCAATTTGAAGAGCAGCGCGTTGATTTAGCTGACGTTGTTCTCTCAGGAGAATTGTCGCTGTCATCAGCTGCAAATTACAAACAAAATGCGAAACGATTAGTCTATTGATACGAAGGAAAATGAAAATTGATTAAACCCAATCATTTTCGTTTAACTTCAAACAAGGTGAACACGTTCATGTTTCCTTATGAAAATCGAAAGCAACAACTAGAGGAATGGTAAAAGTGGACAGTTAAAGATTGAGAGTGAGTTCTTCGCTCCGGAAATTGAATAATAAGCTTCAATTGAAATTCACCTTCGTTTCTTGTTATCGCCCATACCTCAGCTGCTCATCTCGTACGTTGCATTTCTTTGGAAATCATAAATCGAGGCATTAGGTTCAATTTTCCGAAGAAGACAACCAAAGCGCATGTAGCTATCTTGAAAAGGAAAAATACCGCCAATGTGTCTATTGTGGTAATGGTACGCACTATAAACAACTTGTCAAAAATATGATGTGCACACACACGCGAGAGCGAATTCTGTTTGGCGAATGGATAGATTTCAAAACGGCAGTCGTTAAATAATCGCTTGTTTGCGATCGTAAAGTGTCATTTAATTGCTAACAATTGTTTTGCTTTCCTCTGTGGTGTGTGCTGACTGACTGGCAACCAGCAGAGAAGCCAGTCAGTTTGTTGACAAATAACAAATGGAACGATTCTCATGTGCCGATCAAACAGTAGACCAGCGAATTGTAGAAAAAAAAAACGAGCGAGTGCAAGTCGAACATCAATGTGAATGAACTGACAAATGCGGGCAACATCGTTACAGGAAAAAAAAAACTGTCTCTTTGCCGCACACGAGTTGCATTCACGCACTCGAACTGCAATTGCAGACATTGCAAAAAATAAAATTTACAGAAAAAAAAAACATGTGAAAAAGATATAGAATACTCTCCGTCCATGACTGAACGAAACGCGAAAATGGTAATCACGTAGCATTTTCACTAAAAATATACCCGGGACATACGAACTGTACAGTTAATTTGTTTTGCTGAATCTGAATGTTACCGTGTGCAATTTGTATGTTTATGTGTGTGTTCGACGCGCGTTCTCTCGCTTTTTTTCTTCTTCTTCATTCGGTTGTCATCCGCATAATCGAAGGAGTCTAGACTAACTTTGAAACGTTTTGTACCTTTTTGGCGTAGTACATAAACTACCTCACAACAACTGCCAACGAAAAAGAAAACACACACACACATACAAACCAAATAACGAAAAAAAAGAGAACAACAAGACGCACATAATTAGAGAGTGAATATTTTGCAAATGCGATTTGGATAAATGTAACCATTTATTTAATTAAATTGGGTGAAGATTGAAGACTCTACTGCTAATTTTGTTGTTGTCGTTGTTGCTTTTTTGCATCCATGGAAATAATTACGTGCAACACATTAAATCGCTATCAAAGCGAAACGAAAGCGATAGAGCAAGAGAGACGGACCGACGGACGTATCTTTGGTGCTTTCCTGTCTCGGAAAATCGTTCAATAAATTCAATTACTGCGTTACGCACGCACACAAAGGGTTTAGCATTTCGTTTTCCGAATGAAATATGAAGTAAATATTTCCGAAGTCCGACAAATTAAATGAAAATTTGAATAAATTATTCGTTTGAAACCTCACGCACCATTTTACTTTTTCACTCATAGCATCCCCTTTGCACGCACTTTCCATAATCTAAGCCGTACATTTAGTTCGACTCTCATTCGTTCTTGTTCATTCCCTTTACTGTTTGCCTCTTTCGCTTTCACTTCCCGAGCTACAGCATTGGTCCACATATACTTTTGTTGTCGCTCTCATTTTCGCACTCTTATTATTTTGCCTACCTTGTGCTATCTCATTACCGTTCTCACTCGTTTTTGTCTGTTGTTGCTTGCCCTTGCTCTTTGCCAACAATGAAAAATGCCCGCAATTTGCTCTCTCTCTCTCTCTCTCTCTCTCTCTCTGTGTGTGTGTGTGTGTGTGTGTGTGTGTGCCTCTCTTGCACGCTCAATACTTTTATACCCAAAACGCAAAAGCATTAAATGCATTCCGGTTTCTTGTTAGACAATTCGAAAATGAACCAAACAAATTCGACTGGATGCGATACCGATGCCATGTACCGTCTCGGATTCAACTTCGACTCGGAGTCACACAACGCAATAAATGCCGACATCGTAGTTCACTTCCATTGGTATGCATAATATTTTTCAAACATAACGACTCCAATTATGCCAAACCATAAAATTGCTTCGGAAGAATTGTTTCACGAGTTGTTTATCGTTTGTATTGTGTAATATGCCATTGCTTTTCGCCTGGTATTGCATGGTATATCGCCGATGGGTTTTTCATTTTTCGAATAAGTCATGCCATTCATTATGCGCGCTCACCCGCTCGTTCGTTCGTTCGCTTGCGTTCTCATTTGTTTTTCGTTCTGTTTTAATGAATTGGGAGACGTGAACTTTTCAGCAACAGTTCAACGAATCGACATTAATGAAAACGCTTTCGGATTTTAATGGAAATGAAAGCACAAAAATGAAAATAAAATATGTGATCAAATACCGAATTGAATCATGCAAAAATGTTTTTCATGTTTGGTATGCATTTGATTGGCTCATATATGCTGCACAACCAATCGCCGAATGCAAAATTATTAATTGCCGAGTGTATTCGAATTTCCAAATGTTTTTTTTTTATGTTGAAACATTTCAACAATACAAACAATGAAGTCGGTCGCGTTGATGTCTTCGGCCCAAAAATCAATTATCCAGAGCAGTTTCGATGAAAATATTTAAAAAAAAAAGTTTAAATTTGCACTGTCGAAACCACACAAACAAAGGCAATGAGATAAAATCAAGATTCCAATTTTGCGCTCGATTCAACAAAGACTCTATTGATGTTGAATGCTAAATGTTCTATTTTAAGCAAACATTGTTACTGTAATTTTTAGCAGAGTATTGATAGTTTTTACGAAAAATCTCTTTTGAGTAAATAAAACTCTTTCAAGCTGATCAATATAGTCTCCATTGAGCCGATCGCAGTATTGGAATTTTGGATAAAATTATGGACTGGATTGCATTGGGCAACTCTCGCTCGTTGCTCCAAGTCAACATTCATGATAATTTAAATGACCGATTAAAGCTTTTTAAAAAGATTAAACAAACACCCATTATTTGATTTACTCTGGCTAATGCCACCACAAAACTTTAGCTCAAGAAGAGCGAAACGTTGACTAAATCAGTTGGTATCGGCCGGAAAAACCATTAAAATGGAAAATTTGCACTACAAAACATAGACCGGATGTTAGCTATGGTGGTGGCCAATATTTATGTTGTGCGTTGTGCTTCCGTTTTAGTTGAGCGAGTTTATCAAGAGTCAGCGGAAACTCCACGCTATTGGCTCCTCGCTTTGTTGAAATGAAGACGGATCCTCTTTAGAAAGGAAAATGACAGACGGAGAGGCGGGGAGAAAATCAGAAGACGTTAAAAATGATTATCTCTTTGATTTTAGTAATTTTCTGTTTGATGTTTTTGTCTTGATACGCGTAGCTCATCAAAGACAGACAAAGGGCAGCAATAGCAGCATTGAGCGCTGCCATTCAAAATGAGATAAAACTGCGCGGCGGTAATGGCATTCGTGGTTCTTCTTGGATTTAATAGCCTGTTTTGCTGCCAACAAAACCTATAAAGTATTTAAAAACAGAAATTACGTTAATAAACTTTTTCGGATGTTATACATTTAGCATTGATATGATTCCGTTATGGTCGTGGCTTGATCTGCTCGAACGGTCGGTTTGGACGTATTTCTTCGAAAATTTTGAAAATCGACATCCTAATCGCATTTCAAGCATCACATCGGATTTGGGTGTTGAGATTGTACGGCGTGGACACTGGTAATACGAAGCTGGCCAATACAAAATTTCGAAATTAAATACATTCCATTGGTACATTTCCATTATTCATTAGATAATACATTGAATTAGCGAGCCATCATGCGGCTCCATCGATCGATTCCAAGTGAATTCAAGATGGCTGTTTTGTTTGCCGGATGGAAAACAATGTAAAATAGTCTCTGACAACCGAAATGAAAATTGACAAAGACCAAAGTTGAATACATTAAGCATACAAAAAGTCTCCTCTCTCGCTTTGTACACCGTTTGCAAGCATCTTTTAGGGGATTTTGCTCTTGTTTGATGCGTTGCCTTATGCCGACGAAGCAAAACAGCATTAAAGTCCATTAAATTATAATTTTTTTAGCTGTTGTCGTTGTTATTGTTATTGTTATTGTAGCTGACTGTGAGTGAGCACGACGAAGTTGTATACCAAAAACAAACGAACTCGAGTTTCGATTTAGATGCGCTTTCGCTTTTGTTTTTCTTCTGAGTTGCGAATTCTAAAAAGGACGTGCTCGTATTTTTCTCTCTCGGCTGGAATTTCACTTAGTTGTTGATGGCCATTTCCATACTTTTACATTTTCCTTTCGATGTGACTTACGTGCGCTCACATTTAATAAAATCCAAACGAAATGAATGAAACAGCCACATTCCGAGCGAGGGAGACGATCCGTTTTTTTTTGTTCGTTTTCTTCTATTCTTCTCCATCCGCCACGGCAATAGAATGAGTACAGAAAGAGAGAGAGAGAGAGAGAGAGAGAGAGAGAGAGAGAGAGAGAGAGAGAGAGAACAACTAGATTGTCATTTTGTACGTGTTGCGGTGTAGCGTTTTATGTAAATTTTTACATCAAAAGCGAAATATAGTGGATGTAGAAAAAAGGTGTTCAAAAAAGCGACTGTTAAAAATACA